GTGTATAGAGAAAATTCAGCAAAGCAGCACATCTTGTGATGTGAAATGATGCTATTTGTATGCTTTTGATCTCTAGTATAGTCTATATTTGACTGAAAAGAAGTTACTGAAGTTTTATGGGGTTAATTTATTTTGTCAGAAAATACAGATTTTGAGACAAAGCAAAATTTAAATATATAAATATATTTGCAAACCAAAATACTAAAAGGAACGTAATACTTGTACAGCTATCACATATTAGCAAAATTGATCCAAAATGCAATCAGTTTTCTTTCCAGCACATTCCCTATAAGGGGGTTAATGTGCAAGTTGCAGCCTCCATTTATACAGAAGGATTTTTATTTTTAACATCCCAGATTATTGTACTTATCTGCTCCTAGAAAATATGCACTGTATAAACATATCCTTTATCTTGAACTTCAGTATTTCTGTGCTTCCATGAAGAGTAAAAACATCTGGTTAAATTACTATGTGTGAGTACAATGTGCAGGCAAAACCCTGTACGAATTGCATATAAAATAAACCATGGCTTCAGTTCTTTTTGCTTTCCAAATGTTCAGCTTGAGCAGTCTGTTGAAATTGCATCCCTGATATGTGTCAGCACAATGATAACTCATGTACCGAGCTTCTTTTCTGAATAAAATCAAGTTCTGTTCTTGTTCTGCAGCTGCCAATGTTTTAAAGTTTAATTCTGTTATGTGTGTTCCCCCCAACAAACGCCCCCCCAAAGTGGACTGGCACAAAGTGTTGCACAGCAGCGGCGATGGCTCCAAGGGACTGGCTGGACGGAGTTGTCATGTGTCTGCCTGTCTACACTTGCTGTGCAGAACATCCTCTCACCTGTACAGCAGGCACAGACAGGCAGTCGCATGACAACCCAGCCTGAGGGACAGCCGCCAGTGGGACCCCGCTCTGACAGCCCAGAGCATCTGCAGCACCAGCTCCAGCCAAGAGTCCTCTGGACCTCAGACGGCCGGTCAGTCAGCAAGCCCAGAGTCAAAGCAGCACTGCCTGTCAAGTACAATAAAACCCACTGCTGAAATTCTTACTGTGCTTCCTATAGTACTCTTTTCCTAGTTGTTCTCACGAGCTCACTAACAGTAAGTTGGATTTATCCGCAGCCCTGCGGCACCGCCGTATGTTCTGTCCTCCCGTTTGCTTCCCAGGCACCGCTCGATTCCTGCTGTACAAAACTCTTTGACATTCCTGCTCGCCACAGAAGCCAAGAGCAGCTTATTGTGTGGCAAGCTCATTCTGTAAAGACACACAACGTCAGATCTTAGAGGAACTTCTCCCCTTTCCACTTTCTCACCTCCTCCCTTATTTTTGTAAGTTTGCTCCCAAATCTCACATTTTACAACTGGGAACAAACTGTGAAATTATAATAAAAACTGCATCCATCACTGGATGTTAACAATAATATCATTTACTATTGAAACAGAATGGAAATATTTTCTTTGGAAACAAGAAGACAGGAGATTTTTTTTCCCATCAATGTAAATGTCACATTTTTAGAAATTCTAATCCTAGAGTCCAGCTTGGCATCCTTTGCACAGCAATAATGCCAGTGAAATCTCTGGATGCTTTAGAAAGAATAATAAAATCACATTCTATGACCATGCACTGTAACAATGTTACAGCACTTTACAAATGGCATCCGTATCTTTACAGTAAAGAGGTTTTTTATTCACAACCTAGAATGACATTCCACATTCCCAAAGTCCATTTCATCCTAATGCAGGAGTGGCTAATTCACAAACTTCAGATTTGCAGGTTGACTCTCAAATGAACCTTAGTTAATGTTACTTAAAGCAGTAACAACTGAGAAGTAAAATGCTCAGATTTAATAATTTGTATGTGTAGGTGTGCCTTGCAATGCTTCAGCTAGGGTTACATGTAATACTCTACAAAATAAATCTCTATTTGTGAGGTCACAGAGTGTGCTGGTCTTGCACTTGTTTACAGCAGCCTCAAAGCCAATACACAGAGCTTCCCTTGCTTGGTTTTTAAGTAGAAAAGCACAAAGTCATGGTACTGGTCACACAGCAAAGTTACAAACAGAATCAACTGCATGCAGGATCAGAAACTAATCCATGTCAGTTCTCCCAGAACCAATACTGTAACTGCTCTAAGCACACTGTTCAAACATCAACCCGGCATTTCCAGAACTGCAAGTCTAAAAACGCATTCTTAGGCACTGAATCCTTCTCACCAGGAATAAAATCCTGCTGTATGTTTGACAAACAAAACTATGTGAAGAAAACAATTGTTTCTTTTCTGATACTGACATCATACAGGAAAATCTGAAATCTTTTGCCATAGCAACTTGCCTTTAAATACATCTTACTATGGATTTATCACTTATAAAGCTGCACCTCACAAAGGCATTTACATCCTTCTAACGGCACTAGCAAGCCACCACTAGTGATTTTGATCTCAGAGCAAATTCCAGACTAGAAAACAGGCTCAGCTTACACTAGAGGGGGTACACAGCCCTGGAGGCCCCAGCAGGCACTGGAGCTTTGCAAAGCACATTGTCAGAGCTCTGTGGTACACGGCTGCTGCAGCACTGGCGACAGGCACAGAAGGCACAAACTCCTCAGCATGGCAAGGCAAGCCAGGTGAGAGCTGACCCTGCACCTTCCCCAGCTGCCAGGGCAAGGCTCCTGGCCAGCCCGAGCAGGGGCTGGGGGCTCTGAACTCCCCACGACCTCGCAGGGCACAGCCAGACACACAAACACAGGGATCAGTTCTCACATCACCAGACTGTGCATCTCACTGGGGGGGAAACACCCCCACACAGCCACTCCAGCCAGCAGCTGAGGAGACTGACTGATTTTTCAGTCTTACTGAGAAGGTCCAGTACAAAAAAAAAACCAAAACACAAAACCAAAAACAAACAAACAAGCACAAAAAAAAAAAAAAAAAAAAGCCAAAACAAAAAACAAACAAACACAAAAATCATAACTTTATAAAGTCTACTTAAGGGGCAACTTCTTTCACCAGCAGAGCATGGAATAGTCCTCTGCTATTATCCTATGCAATTATCTTCTTACCACTCTAAGAAATTCCTAAGTGATCTCCCATGGCCTGAATTAACTACTGACATTTTCATGACTCTCAAAACATAACTGTTTGGCAATTAAGAGACATTATCTTAAAATATGCATATGGAAATCACACAGTGGCCATTTCTTTCTGAGTACTTTCATGAGCTTCCCAGGTGACTTTCCCCAGCAGATTGTCAAAACTATTTCCTTTTTAAAGTTGCACAGCACAAGATGTACCATGAGGATTTTCAGCAATTTTTATATTTCCCACTAAACAAAAATCAGATTTTAAAAAACAACCAAAACTACCTAAAAATATTACCACAGTTCATCTTGGATGCACTTCCAACTGCTTGAGATAAAACACACCAGGTGTGTTAGTTTTGTCACATTGCTTGTTTTAGTTACAGTTGCCTGTATCTTACCTAAGAAAGCCAGTTCTAGTAACTTCAAGGCAGATCACAAAAAAAGAACAGCTTCAAATTTTCAAATTCATAGTCACTTTTGCATTTTTTTCAAGTTCTGTTTCAGCAATCTGAGAGTAAAATTTCCCCTCTTGACACCTGTCCCTTGGCTCCTCCCCTCTGTCTGACATGCACTGGTTTTCCTGTTATGCTATATTTGAATCCCTTTAAAACTTAAATAAAAGGGCAAGGGGTAAAATCCTCAAAAATCCTCAAGATTAACCTAATTTGCCTCTCTGCCTTAAGGTGTATCCTGAATGGCTACAGACTGAGGGGAAAAGAAACTATTTCTGAGCAGCATACTTCCCACCCCCAGCAGCATTACTGAAGGAGCTCCACATCCAGGATTTGCAGGACTCTGCCTTATACACTGCAGGTCCTCTCCCCAGGGCTTCCAGAGAATCCACTGCAGTAAAACACCATGGTAGCTTAAAGAGAATATGAATTTGCACAGTCCCCATCAACCTGTTTTGTTGGGATCAACCAGTGTTTTGATTATTACTTAGAATAAGATGAAAAGGTTGAGTGATGCTTTAGAACTCATTTAAAGCTTTCTCTTTACCTGTGCTTCTTCCATCCATTGAACTGGTTCACCCTAAAAATCAATGATTTCTTACTAAAAACACTTCAATTTTTTTTTTAAAGGTGGTGAGGGAAGAACCCAAATAGGAAATAATAGGGTTTTTTAAAATGCCCTATTTTTGTACAAAAAACAACACAAACCTAAAAAAATTCACAAAGGCTTTACCACAAATCTGATAGCCCACATAATCCTGTTTCAACCTTCAAAATACTGCTGGAGTCATGGATAAAATGTATCATTACACACAGTGTTGAAAAAGTCATTAAATACAACAGACAAGCTGCCTAACAATATATTCAAAGTGAGCAATGTGGATGTCCTTTTCTTTATTTCCATATCACTCACCTCAGATTTACTGATCACCCAAGAAGGTGCATTTTTTGTCAAATCTGAAAATCCACACCAACCACCTAGAGAGAACTCTGCAGATGGGCTTTTCATCCTCTCAGAACATAAGACTGGAGAACAGCTGTTTTCATTAAATCAATTGCTGTAGTTACTTTCAGAAGTAAATTTACCCATACAGTTTATGATCAACTTGCAGTAGATGTATAAGAGCAACCAAAGGAAGGATAGGAAAACAAGCAGAGTATTTCAAAACATCTGGGATTTTCTCCTTTTTTAAAGAAATGTGTGGAAATCACAGGAAGAGAAGAAAAAAGTAAAACAAACAAAAATACCCCACACCACACCCTGTGTTTGTTATCAGCATTTCAACAGAAGTCTTAGACAGTCAGCATTCCCCATGAATCAAACCAGAAATGTAAAGAACACAGCTAAAACCTTAAAACAATCTCTCCCTTCAAATTTACACAAACTGATTAAATATTTCAAGTTGATATCAGAACACTGTATTAATACTGGGGTTTTCCCCAATTGAAAAAGAAGTTCTTCATTCCTTACCTCATCATCTTTATACCAGGACAAGCTCTCTGCAGTCAGGACAAACCAGTATTCCTTGGATCCTCCTTTCATGATGCCAATGTTGTTGATGGTGAGCCAGCCTTTCCGGATGACCTATGCAGAGGTGCAGTCAGGTACAAGTTTAGTTCATTACTCACTTGACAGAGTTCTGCTGCTGCATTCATTATTTTAAATAAAGATTTGCTAAATGAAACACAAACAGGTGCATTTTTTCAGTCTCTGGGAAATTCAAGTGGTTTTGCAGCATTCAAAAAAAAAAAAAGTAATGAAGTGAGTATTACATTTTCAGTCTGAAGGTTGGAGAAAGAGAGAAGCCAAACTATCAGAATGTTGTACTTACAGCAAGTGTGAGTGTGACAAGGATCAGGTAAGAAGATATTTATTTGCTGTATATGAACACATTCTGAAAGCTCGCACAACTTAATCTGTGACTATACTGCTCTGGTCTAATTGTTAAGGTCATCTCTAAAAGTGGATGCCAGGAAAAGCACCTAAATTTTGGTAAAGTGAGTGGCTTCTGACACACACTGGGGATTTTCAGAAGTGGTTGTATGGAGTGGCAAAGGAGAGAGGTCTTCTAAAGTTAAGTTAAAATTAAGGCAGGAAGCTGTAAGGAGAGGCATGTGAGAGACATTTTCTTCTCATAGGACAGAAGAGAAAAAGAAAAGACAAAAAAAAAACCTTAGGCAGCAATAAAAATCAGGGAGGAAATAGGCAAAGCAACACTTTATAACATAGATACAAGCCAAAGATGAAAGAAGAGATGTGGACATACCTATAAATACTAAGACCAGGAGGCTACACCATGCACAGAGAAAGGGGGACAGCAGAAACCTAAGAGAAATGAGATAACTCCCCAGCAGAAGAGTATAACCATGAAAATTCATTTACAGATGAGATGGACACTTTCAATTTTATTGGAACAGCCACTGTTTTCCAACATAAATGAGAAAGCAAAGATTCCTTCCTCTCGTGCTCTGAACAAGACCACAGAACCCTCCCAAATCACAAATGCAAGGAACCTCAGCTCCCGTCTTTCTCCCCACAGCAACACCCTTCACTTGCCAATGGAAAATTGAGACAAAAAAAAGTGCTCAGAGAAGCCCTTCAGAACCCTCTCAACAAGCTCCACAAGCACTGATCTGTGTGATCAAACATGAGTTTCCTGCTCTATTTAAATAAATATATGAGACCAACATTCCTCTCACAGGGCTTTACAAGACCAGTAACTCCAATACCAACAACTCAACAAACAAGAACATGGCTCGCCATCTATTCTTTGCCATCTATAAAAGTTTAAGAATCAGAATTCATCCCTATTTAGCCTGGATGTTCATGCAAGCTCCTAAAAAAACCCCAGCTTTGGTTTTGCACAGGATAAGGGACTGAATTCTATTTGATAGCCAAACCAAAGAAGTTGCACCTGAACAGCAGGAAATTGTATGGAAATGTACATAATCGAGAGTATCAGTTTCATTTCAAGGAAGATAAACGTGTTTTCCCATTTACTACCAACCAGGCCAGCAGTGTAAGAAAAGTCCTAAAGATCCAAAAACAGGCTGTAAGTTTTCAGCCTGTAAGAAAATCTCTGAGAGCACTGATTTGGTTCTGAAGTCACAGTAAGGGATGAGAGAACCGGACATGATTCCTGTAAAGAGACTCAAGGGTATGGCACAAGCAGATAAGATGGAATAACCTGTTCCACAAAGATTTCTACAAAAGTGGGTCAGGACTTTTAATATTTGTGGTTTTGGCGGGGGGGAACCTGAGTGGAGAGGGGCATCAGTTAGTACAAACACACAAGTAATGCTTGTCTAAGTGCAAGTTAAGGGAAACATTGATAAGAACTTGATTACCCATCAAATCCTCATTTTATTTTGTGATGTTTATTGAAGTAAGTTTTTAACAGGAAACAAGTAACACGTATATACAGCCAGTGTACTGGCCTTCAGGCAGCTGCCACAAGACAAGTTGTAGAATCAAACTAATTCTATTACTTCTTTCTGCAGTGAACTATAAAAAAGCAAAGGGAAAAAAAATTGGGGAAAAGCAACAAAATTAAGGTTCTGCATTCACTTGAGCATAGATCTGTAGCAAGGGGAGTTGTATTTGTGCAGCAGACTAAATCCTTCACAGCACTTGTGCACATGTTTCCATGCTAAAGAAGCTGGGAGAGAGGATGCTGTTGAACCATGTTATCTGCAACTGAAAATGCCATGTTGCTCCATGCAAAGCCCATATCCACACACAGCCCAGGCAGCCTGGCCAGCACCTGGTCTGGAGAAAAATATTTTGGAGAAATATCTCAGGGAAGCTAAAAGATTTGGACACAGATGTCAGTGAAGATAAAGAGGTGGTTTCCAGAAGCAAACCAGGCAGGAACACCTAAGCAGCAGGTTCAAGAACCTTAAAGGGGATGGGATGGATGGGATGGGATGGGATGGGATGGGATGGGATGGGATGGGATGGGATGGGATGGGATGGGCACTCTGTGCTTATTCCATCCTCTTCCTCACCATTACCACAGGCTCTGTAACAGCTTAGTAAGAGTCCCATTTTCTCAATTCGACAAGAAGGCATTTGTGGTAGAGCTCTCAGAACACACCAAGCCAACATTTTAAAAACTAAACTATACAAACCACTTAAGAAGCACTGAAGATATCAATACTTTTAAGGTACAAATCGTGTCATGCTCCAGTCCAAGACATCTCCCCAAAAATGTGCAACCATCACAGGGTGTGGACAGAAACAAGCTGACTTGCTAGGACAATCTCTGGTCACTGGTTCATAAATTAAGGAATTTGCCAGTAGTTTCCTCAAAAATCCTGTGTGCTAAGGATTAGATCCAGCTGTCATTTCCACACAACCCTGCAGAAGAGCAGGACACCAACCTACAGCAATATTCTGGGTGTGTGTTTTTCATGTGAAATTTCTAGACTTGTTTATCTATACCCCTCTGGGAAAACAGAGTTCTGTGTTCTCTAAAATATAGTGGAGTCTACAACAGGTCATCACAATCTGAAGTGCTAGGAAGCTGTTCCAGGGGACACCAAGAGGGAGAAGATGAGCTTAATGTGCTAAGCCTCATGTCCTTTTCATTGAGTTTTCCCATTTCCCAGGCACATCCTGTTAACTCCAAAAAGCTACACTTATAGAAGACTCAGCATCAGTGTTGGACGTAAAGGAGAGGGAGGTGTGTGGATCAAGGTGTAATGCAAGAAAAAGTGAGATTAAGGAACATAGTTTCACTTTCCAGAGAAGCTGAATGACACCTTAGACTCCAGCTATATTTTAGAACTGTTCTTCCACAGGCAATAATATGGTAAGATTTTCAAAGGCACTTTCAAAGTTCAAAAAACTCTGATAGAGAGTTATTATTTTGCAGGTTTTTTAACTGTTGTCTTAGCTATGTTTTACAGCACTTCAGCTTGAAAAATGAAAGCACTGTGTTTCATTATTGCTCTCACTAGCTCTTTTTCTCATTGGGTTGTATCTAAGAGATCCATTTCACTCTTTTCTATCATGTTTCTAAATGTCATTCTGTGCAGAGCGGATGTTAGTGACATAAGTTATGAACCTCAGGAAGGTGAAAAACATGGGCACAGCCAGAAGCTACTGGAGACAATATTCTGACCGGTAGCTGGACTCCATGCACAGGATGAACAAGAGATGACACAGTTCCTTCCTTCAGGATCCTGATACCTAATCTGGGTGACTGAAAAATGAAACTCAGAGCCTCTGAATGCACACGAACAAGCCAGAAGGAAATCAGTTTCTCATAGTTCAGCTGCACAAAACCCAAATCATATTTGTTGTTCTTACTCTACACCACTTCATGGAGAAACAGGAAAGCAGGATTTGACACAATAAGCACATTTTATATGTTGCTGCATGACTTTAATTGCACTAAATCAAATAAGGCATTTGTAAAAGAAATATATTGAAAGAAATGGGACACTTGTGGATTCTCTAAAGAAGTGTTTGAAGGATGACTTCAAGATAAGAGAGATACATGAAATTGGGCAGACAGAAACACAAGAGTGAGAATCATGTGACTGGATACAGAACAGAAGCAGCAGTAATTGTTAATGTAACACCATTAAAGTTGTGTTATGTAACCCCACTGAAATAATTCTGAGCACAAAACACAACTCCCAGTACTACTCCATCTTCCAACCACAGTCATTACAACATGTGCTACCGAACAGTAAGCACATTGAGAGAATAAAAATTACAAAACCTACTCAGGGAGGCATCCTTAGAAGCTGTTGGTTCTTTGGATTCAGTCATGAAGATCCTCACACTACAGAAGCTGTAACGTATTAGAGGGGAAATGTACTACAGCATTTCACTGCAATTTGCCAAATGTTCCAGCATAAACTGATCAGATCTGCTCTGATACTGAACATAACCGAGATCTTGTGACACTGCTTCCCTACAAATGACTGCACAGTGTATTGCATAACTTAAAATTAGTGACAGAGGCTGAAGTCCTAAAAACATGTCTGCTTTAAAGAAAAATTTTGTCTTTACTGGAGCAAAGCTCTCCAGGGTAAAAAACTGAAATATACTTCCAAATATAGTTAAACAAAGACTGAGGTAAGTCAAACATGAAGGAATATTAACCTAAAAGAATAAATAAAGGCCATTTAGAACAGCAATACTCCTCCAGACTTGATAAAGTGAAAATTCAAAACCAGCAGGTCTCATGCTGCTGAATTTTGAAATATTTTTGAATGTGTTAGTTCATGGGCACCACCTCTTTCATAGAAATACTGACATTTCTTAACAGAACAGCTTTGTCATGCTTTTTTATGACCACCTCACTGACTATGGCACAAGTCTCCATTTCCATCTGGTTGCTTAAAAAAATTCTACAAGCATTTTTTTCCTGGGTCATGCAAGATAATAGAATTTAAGTATACCTGAAGAAAAGAAACAGCAAAGTATGCTACAAAGCAGGATTAAAAGAAAAAAGAAAAAATAAAAAAGGGGGTAACAAGGGAAAAGTTACTTATTAGGACTATAGTTCAAGCCAAGTTCAAGGGTCTGAATGCTACTTGTGTCCAGAAGAAATTAATCAGATCGTTGGTGTAACACTGAAGAGAGGCAGGTCAAACAAACTCCTCAGACCTAAACCTCCACATCACATGGACAGTGCCTTGAAACTCACAGTTCACATTAAGCCCCATCTCCAGTTATAGGACTACTTCAAGCACAGCAGAGGATTTTACCACTGAAGGACAGAATCTCCTATAAATATATATAAACCTCTATAATTTGAGTGTCTTGTATTCTCACACACACCAATTGGGCTCATGGAGCAATGACACCTTCATCTTTAAAGCTTTATCCTCAAGGGGAGTTTAAAACATTGAATTTTAGTCACCAAAACAAATCTCAGCACACAACATACACAATTAAGAGTGGGTCAGCTTTCAGGAGCCAAGCCCTGCGGTTGTGCTGTGTAAAACCAAGCATTGCACAGATTACTCCAAGCAAATGAGAAGACAGACTAACCTGTGGCTTAAAAAGAAACTTTGTGGAGTCAGGTCAAAACCTCAGGCGGTAGCAAAGAAAAGACAAACAAAAAAAGGCCAAAGATTAAGTGTGAGAGGATAAATTAGTAGTAGAGGAAAAAGGAGAAAAACATGCTAAGAGGAATTTGCATTATTGTCCAAAAATAAGGTGTTGCTGGCTCATCTTATTTCCAAGATACACAGAAATAGTTAATAGTTATCTGCATCATTCCAGCCCAAAGCAAGCTACTAAAAAAGAAAAGCAAACTATTGCAAATGAGCATCCCACTATTTTGGGAAAATTCAGTGATCTTGATCTCCCCAAAGGGTGCAATTCAACTGCTGCTAAAGTCAGTGCTGTCTCTTTCCATAACCGAATATAAGTTTACTTTAAAATGATAACTAATAGAATTTGATGATGTAGCAACAAACTGAAAAAATGTATGTTTTTAACACAGATATTGCCAAAGAATACACAGAATACAGAAATTTATTTCTTACACCTTACCATTACTGAACCGGTAGTAACTTGTTATAAAATTAACTGCAGTTTAGACAATTAATTCTAATTAGTAATATTAAAGACATTCACATATTTATTTACTCATGAAGTGGAAGGGTTAGAAAAGAGTCTGTCCGCGATATATTGCTCCTCCTGGTGCTACGAAGAGAATGTTAAGAAGGCTTTAAATATTTTCATTCATAAAACTCATTTTTCTATCCAAAGTAATTCCTTGACATAAACAAACCACCAAGAACAGTACCTGTATCCATAAACAGCATGTTCATTTACACCAGAGCTAATGTTTCCTTTTGGTTACCAGAAACTTATTTGCCCACCTTACAAAGAGAGGTTTACTATGAATAGAGGCACTTAGATAAAAACTGCTTTCCAGTTTTATAATAAAATAAACACCAATTAGTCATTTTAGTTTGAGAAACTTGTTAAACTACAAAAATATTAATTTGATGCAAAGTCTTCTACAATATTTTAAGTTATACTAGTTCAGACTGGTAACAGCAGGTTAGTAGCAGTTAAGTGATGAACTGCAACTACACTTTGTTGAAGAAGTGTTACAGACAAGACAGCTTAACATTAAATAGTTTCAGCAGCAAGTATTCGACAAACCAATGAGTTAGAGACAAATTTTGCCCTCTGAGAAGCTAAATGAAAAAGCAACAATAAAGCTTACAGAACTTAGCTCGTACAATTTGCCTTGAAGGCGGTAGATTGGTTCCCTGAAATAGCAAATTGCAAAAATGAAGTTTTATTTCAGAAACATTTTCTCATTCTTTTCAACTCCAAACAATCAACTTACAAACATCTGTTTATTATCTCTACAATAAAAGGTTCAGCAAAGTCCTTTATACCACAAGTAACCAAGTTTCAACATTGCATTTAAAACGCCAAGCTTTTTCTTCACTTCTTTGGAGAGAAAACATTCACTCAATTAAAAAATCATCCATTTTATTTGTGTATTTTTGAAGAGCCAGATAATTGGTTGCTTTTCCTTTTATGGGACACTCCAAAGTGATGACAGTCGTTGTGTTTGACACATGTTCCGGCACAGCTAGATAAGAAGGAAATCTCTCCTCAGAGGGGAGAGGCTGCTCTTTGAAGCCATTGCAGTGTTTAGACCTTCCAGGGGTTTTTTTCATTTTAATCCAAACCATATATTATACCAAAAATGCCACTCATGCTGGTCAGGCTGTGGGGAACCATCGCATCCAAGAAGTTGCTGGAATATGTTAGGAAATATCCTGAAAATAACTAGCAATTTCTTGGTGAGAGGAAGAGATTGAATTTCTAGCTCCAAAATGATGACTAGAACTCTTGCCAAGAGCTCTTGTCTACAACAGCAGCAGAATAGGAGACTGTCTGAAATTTCAGGTTTATCATTTGGATCTAAACTCAGTTGTCACATTTGAAAACTTTGATCAGGAGTTGAAACCTCCTGAGCATTGTCTGACCAAATCACATGTGAAAACATCAGGAAGATATTCAATACTGGTAATTAAATAAAATTTCATCATCTTATTTTTACTACTATTTTTTATTTCATTCTCAAGTATGTACTAGTTCCATAACAATTTTTTTTCTGTTTAAGACTTTGCAAAAACCTCAAAGTGAGCAAAAACTCTCCAAATGGTAGCATTTTGCTTATTTTCATCTCATATTAAGAAGAGGACTCATCCTGCCAAGTACTGAGAACACCTGAACCACACAAAAGCAGAGAGGGAAGGCAGGCTCAGGAGCACCAAGCACCTTGCAGAATCAATCCCATATTCTTACGTGACAAAAAGAAACAAACAATTTCATTAAAGAATCTCAGTGAAGATACTAATTAATCTGAGACCATCAACCATTTGTTCTTTGTTTATTTTGAGAAAGGCCTATGGTACACAGTCAGCAACTGTGTGATTGTCAGCTGAAAGGTTTCAGAAGAGGTAAAGGCAAATCCACATTTGCTTGCTGATTTGCCCTTCACTGCAGTTCAGCTGTGAACACATCAGGAGTAGCAAAACACACAAAGCACACACAGGCAAGTACTCACCAGCATTTGGGATTCTGAAATTCACAAGTTTGCGATTAATGACAAAACACCGATGTGTAACATGAGGATTCAAGGCACTGAACAGCATGGGAGGGAAGACACTCACCAGCAGTGCAAGCAGCAGCAGAAATGCTAAACAGCAAATGATGATAACAATGGAAGTCAGGTGGCTTTGAAAAGTTCAGCAAAACAAGGCAATGAGGACACATTTATGTATGTTTGAAGCAAACAAAGGTAAATGATACACTTAAAAGAGAAAATGCAGCCAAGAAAACCAAACAGCTTGGATTAACTTGCACATGCCATTATCCATTCTCTGTTAGGTGCCTACCTGATTTCCCACTGCACTTTTGTTAACCTGACTGCTTCTTTGTTGGGCACTAAGGGAAGCAGAGGAAAAGAGTTATGCTGAGGAAACTTGAACTAAGCCAGTTCCTGAGGAATAATTTTAGCAGTAATAGTTACTTTTGATTCCAGCAGAGAAAGCTAGATTAACATAGCAAAAGAAACACAGGAAAATCATTGCATATATATGCATATTTCAACTGCTTTTCTACCTGATGATATTTGCCTGCTAAGGACAGAAGGGACATGCACAGCAGACAGCTCCTACCAATCACCTCCTTTGCAACAACATCCTTCTTGCATTGGTAAAGGTTACTAAAAGCACAGAGAAATTATGGCTCATGTGGGTAACTTTGGAAACATCAGCCTCTATAAATATTCAGAAGAGACAAAAAGCAAGCCATTTCTGTTATTTAGAGCAGTACAACAAAATCCTCCCCTGCTGGAGGCTCCTTAATAGCTTTGTCTTGACAGTTTGTTTTGGATATTATTCTAATATTTATATGCACTTTGAGGGTGTAAATATAACCAAAGGATGAAGCCTTCATAAACTGGTTCAAAGTTGAAATCTTGTAAGAATAGAACACATTTGAAATTAAACCATATTTAATATATTTTGCTCAATTCTTGAACTTTGGTAATCCCAGTTCCTGAAACAAAACACACTCCTGTCTCAAAACCAAACAAGTTGCCATTAATTCTAAAAGCATTTGCATTATGTGGCGGTTTGTGTTAGGCCACAAAATTAAAATATTGCTGGAAAGAAGAAGAAATGCATTCCAAGAGCAGGCTTTGGCTACTCAGCCACCAGCACTTCATTGGTGACAGGAAGCTTTGTTTGGATTAGATTATACCATTTCACCAGGCATTGATTCACTGAAGACAGAAGCATCCATATGCCAGCAGCTCCAAAGGCTGCTCTGACAGAGAAAGGCAGAGGTGAGCTGGGACCAGAGCCTGTGGCCAGTCCTGCTGCTTGGTGCACAGCTGCTGCTCCAAAGAATTGATAAAGCACCCAACTCAACCCTAGTACAAATTCTGATCCTGTCCTTTGGACCACACCATCAAACCAGCAGTCCACATGCTGTCTGGGAGAAGATCCACAAGGATGTTTATTCCTTGTGCCTACTCACTGTGTTTAGCTTGATAATCCTGATCTTTTTGACCAAACAACACTGCATGTCCCTGGTGCACCATCTAAATTTTCTTTTTTTTCTTAATTTTATCACATTTATATCATAAATTAAATAAATTTATTTAATTTATTTAAATTTTTAAAATTTTCTCTTAATTTTATCTAAATTTAGAAAAGCTAATTATACCATTAACATCATACTAAGAAACCCATACCTTTTAGAAATAGCCCAGCAATTAGTCCTCTATTTAATGATCTAAAAACAAATTACTCTTCATGCAGACTGAAGCATGTAGCTGTTCTTGAGTTATACCAACTGGAAACAAACCCAAGCCCAGAATTTTGCCATTTGTTCTTCCAAAAAAGACAAACATTAATATTGTAAGATTTTGCAATTTTATAGCTATGCAAATTTGTTCTAAATACTGGCCTTGTTAAATCCCTCTCAAGACAATTCACATTGCACTGTACCTGTCTCAGGTCCTGCAGTGCTGCAGGGAAGTTTGTGGTTTGTGCTCTCATTCTTATGACCAAGGTTGACAGGAATTACACTGCTACTGCAGTTGCACGAGACAAGAGGCCAGAAGGCTCAGCAGAGGAAAGGAAACACCAGGGAATCTGGGGAATCTGTAGTCCAGGATGTTCAGATACTGCGTAAGCCCCTGTGCTACCCAACTTATTTCATTTTCCAGTTCTAACAGAACTGCTGTAACAATAATACACTCATAGTTTCAAATTAGTATTTTCTCCCATTTGTCTCATTAGTGAATATTTTTTTAATTTTTCTTTGCTATCCAAATTTTCTCTTTTACTTGGGCAGAAGTCAACAAGGCTACTTTCCTTCTCATCTGTTCCAACCTAGAGAAATCCTAGCTTAAACTTACCAGTGAACTTAAGCTAAGAGTCACTTGTTAGCTGCTTACACCCCACACACAGCACTTGGGGATCTCCAGATCTCAGCTGACAAAAGAGGAAGCATCTTTCTCAAGAAATTTAACTTGGGAATTGTAAAGACACAGCAGCAAGGACCATGGAGGCTGCAGGAGCAGCACCCATGAGGGGAATTTTTCCAGGGGAGAAACATAATGAAACAGCTACAGATACACCTGGAACTCCAGGAGCCAGTACTAAAATATGGAAAGTTTCAACCTGATACAAGGACAAGTCTTTTCATAGTGAGGCAAGGCAAGCATTGGAACAGGCTAGCATAGAAATGCTGGAGAATCTCCAATTTTGGGAATTCTCCAGATCTGATTGGACAAAATCCTGAGCAGCCCGGTCTGAATTCAGCATAGACCCTCCTCTGAGTCGGGGGTGGGACTATGTGAGTTCCCAAGGTCACAACACACACCATGAATATACAGGGAGTGTTTTTAGCAGCCTTTTTCCTGTCAGAAAAGGATGAAGAGTAGTAAATAGCAGGCAGGTTGTTATCTTGACCTCTAGAAGGCCAGCCACCATTCCTACAACATCCTGTTATTTGTCAGGAGAACTGATAACGATATCTAGGACCCACAAACAATTCTAGAGAAAGTTGCTCAAACCAAACACATAAACAGTGCCTGCCTTTGCCTTCTCCCCTCTCAGCTCACTGAACTCCATCTTTTAAACCTTCAAGGCACACTGCCAAAGATGTGCACCTTCCTTCACACTGCTAGCTAGAAATGGCCACAGTCAAATACTACTGTGGTGCCAAAATTTGTTGCCAGCATCTCACATGGCCCAAACCTGTTGTGATTCCAATCACTGTTATGGCAAATACGGCATGAATGTGTCTGAAGGAACATTTATTCTTCAAAGAGTGAAGACATCTTCAATGTTTTTACTAGTGTCAAAATGTTGGTATGAAATCCCTGAGGCACAAATTGCTGGAAGCTGAGGGAGAATATTCTGGAAAATATTCTCACAGCCTTTTCAATTAAGCAAGGAGAACGTCAAACCAGGCCCTGCAGGGCATTCTGCTACTATTATTCTCTGCAGCCAAACAGCAGGCACACTTTTAATTCAGTGACATCCATTATTCTGAGCAAAACTATTTCACACAGAATCACAGCTCCCAAAGTATGCATTAATAACAATGTGGAAAGACCACCAATATCCATTTATGTGTCCTGAAATGCGTTGTGACTCCAGACCAAGACATAAGTTCCAGCTTCAGTGAAACCAGGCTTGTGAACTGGGTGAAGACTCCCCTGCAACTGGGACAGACTTCAACATTGTGGCTATTGAGAAAGAGCATGGTCCTGTATGTCTGGGAGTCTGCAGCCTGGATCTTCACTGTCATACTTCAGGACTTGTGTTCTGAGCATAATAAAAATACCAAGCAAATAAACAAAAAAGCCTGGCAGTGTTTTTATAACAAATTTTCCATGTACTTACTTCGCAAAGCCAATGAAATCTTCATGGTTGGTGTTGATATAAGAAACCTGGATATCAATGAGCAGCAGCATCTGTTATGGGAGACAGGAGAGCAGAATAGGATGGGTAAGGTAGAAGAGAGAGATTGAAGAAAAGGAAGGAAGAAAAAAAACAGAACTCTTGAGTTCTCTGCATTACTGAATATTGTTTTCATAATTGTTCAAGCCAAAACCAATATTTTCTAAATTTCACCGCTTCTGTTTCTGTGCTTGTTTAATAAGTTAGACTACAGAATTCCTATTCCCTCTTCCTACTTTTTTTCCTAACAGACCTCATTTTTTACCTTCTTGGCCCTTGCCCATTCTATTAAGATCAATCATACACAGGCAGAGAGAATTTTACTAATCTTATAACATAGATTCCAGCTCTGCATTTTGCAAGTTAAGCAAATTCTGTCTATCTGGAGCATTCCAGTCAAGCCAGCAAGGAGCCTAAACCTTAAACCTAAAATCCAGGTACCAACATTTTATAAACCACACAAAGAAGTGATAAATAATCCAGTCCTGGCCCAGAAAATGTCCAGTCCAGCCATTCTGGTGTGCACAACTGGATTGAGAGATGGGCTATCAACAAAGTAACACAATGATTTGTGTACTTATCACTTGTCAGTCTTTCAGCAGCCCACAAATAGTTTGATTCAACCTTGACAATCTAACTCAGCAAAGAACTTGCTAAGATATCAACAAAAAATTCCCTTCCACCCTCCAAGAGGCTCTGGAATATGCATAAGACTGCACTTCACCCCTGTCTTTTCAGACTTCCATTTATCAGAGGGAGCAAGGAAAGAACCTATTGTTACCAAATGGTGGCATTTCATCTCTTCAACCTTATTTCTACACAGTTCCTAAAATACAGCATCATCCCAAATTCTTCACAATTCCCAGAAGATATTAGATGCCTCACTTAGACTCAAATCCCCACTATGTTTTTGCTCCATCTCTTACCTCTAAAAACATTCTCACTAGTGTTTTGATTTATTAAGGATAACTGCTAACATCATAAATAATGATGCGAACGTGACAATAACCTATGTGGTCAATTTTTGGCATTTTACAGAAAGCTGATATTTTGTTCTTTGTTCTGAGAAATAGATATGTGCATACAATGAAGAACAGGAAAATAAAACTCAATTATTTTAAACAACTTGTATCTTCTCCAAAATTTTGGGATAACAGTGTTCTGACTCGAACTCCCTGCAAGTACAAACCTAGCTAAAATTTTTTTGGTTGATTTTTTTTATGACTACATTCGCAGTACAGATTAAAGCAGCAGGATGTGCTGCACAGCTCCCTCAATTGCACAGGGATAGGACTAGAGAGTCAGGAGTCCAGAACATCTTAGGAGTTCTGCTGAGCTCTTCTTCCCCAAATATTTCTGCACTCTCCAGACAATTCCAAATCCCTTTCACTGGATTTTCTCACATGTAATCTCAGATTTGCAGTTTCCTGGATTTGGAATGTTATGGCTAAGTGATGAATGCTTTGACCAAATGTTTCTGAATTTTAATTTGTTTTTTAGCTTTTTTTTGAACTTGAAGGAAAGCTTGTCACTCCCTCATGGGGCCCAGTACAATTGTTTGTGAGCCTCACTGTAATTACGGTGAGGGGTGGGCGCATGGTATGGGTATGTTATAAACACCTTGAAACAAAGTAGAAATAAGCTATTCCTGTGTGCATCTGTTTAATCAATGTTGATTTCCCACAAACAGCTCTAGTGGCCCAGATAACAAGTTGGCACACTGGCACAGGAGCAAGACAACACTATTTAACTTTTCTGTAACAATTCTAGTCTCTGACAAAGCTCAGTGGTAAAGAAGCAGTTTTTCTTCCTCTCTACAATGTGCAGACCATTTAAAAAAATATAACATCTTTCACTGTCCTACTGCACTTTGGATGTAAGAACTCTTCTCCCTCACACACTTCCCCAAACTGTCATAGCTCCTATTTATTCTCACCTGGTCCTTGGTCTTCTCTTCTCTCTCACGAATGTAGCCAGCAACAATTCTTTCTGTTTCCTCACACAACCTTGGATATGTTGCCAACTGAAACAGAAAATTAATAGAAATTTACACCTGCAGAGAGGCTTCAGTGGAATACAAACAGGGGAGCCTCCAGCTTTCCTCTTTGGAAGAAAGCAAGTATTATAAAGGCTTAGGACTAGAAGTTAAGCACACTGCAAAGCAAGCCTTACTTGCTGTTGTTCAGGGACTGCAGAGACCTAAACCCTGGGATTGTTGCTGTTCTTTTCCTCCAGGGAACACTGAGGAAGAGACACTTTGGACATATGAAACACAGACTATCTGGGGTGAGGTTTCTCTCTCTTCTACTGGGCCTAATTCCAGAGTGGTGCTTGAAATGATTTCCAAATGTCTTGTTTTTTAAAGGCTCCACCTTGTGGCAACATCTTTACATAACAATACTGAAAAAAGCAAGATACAGTGGTAAATTTGGCAAATACCACTGGGAAGAGCATCTGCACAGTTACTTTAAGTGACAAGTCTTCCAGACTTTGACAAAAGTGAAAAAAACCTGGACACTCTGCTGAAACATACCAGAAAATCTGCTTCTCTATGTTGCCTTTCTGATCTCAAGAAATATCTCCTTTGATATAAAAAATTGGTGGTTTTTTTTAGAAAAAATGCAATAGAATACTTCTCAACAACCTCATCATACCTGTGCTCACATCCCAGAATCACTCCTGTACTTGCTATTATGGGGTACCCTGCACTGGGATGGTGGGACAGGCAGATGGACAGGTAAGACTGCAAAAGCAGGCAGTCAGCTAAGAAGTGAAAACATGGTTTTAAGGAGGAAACTGAGGGCATCTCTTGACTCAAAAACACCTCTCACCATAAAAATAAAAACAAAGGAATAAAAAAACCTAACTTTTCCGTGGTTACATTATTCTGAGCACTTTGCAGAAGTTGTAATTAATTACCTGAGGAAGTCCTACTCTATCCAATGAGTGACTCAATCAGGAATCTCTTACAGCACCATAAAATGCAAGACAGCCTTTATATTATGTACTATAACATTACATTTTACTTACATTACCAGATCTATGTGCAAGCTACCTTTTTAGTGCACTTCTTGACAGTGTTGATTAACTCTTGCATCACCAGATCCACACTTTTTAAGCAAGGTCCTTTCAGCTTAACAATCTGTTTTTTAACAATGGCTTCAAACGCCATATCTGGAGTGAACAAACCTGTTCTGTGGACATAAAAGAATATGTAAGACAGTAATAAAAACACCAGGCAAAGAAGATTTTTTTTTTTTACTAAATTGCTCAAATCTTCACTTTCAGAGCTGAGTGATAACAATCCCTACGCAAACAGACTTCTACAGAACTAAATTTGCTTTTCTCAAAGGAAGTGTCATTCTGAGTAAAAATATAGTCAGAATATAAGAATATAAGTAAAAACATGCTTGAAAGATCAAACTCCTTCAAGAGGACTGTAAGAACTCTTAAGGAGTACTGCTATAATGCAGCAAAGCCTCAGCAGCAGTGCATCGAACCTTAGAGACTCTGAGTGGCAGCTGCAAGCACTCCATGCACAATCCATGGCAAATCCATAGGAATCCTATGGCTGCACTTTTCACTCACACCAGAAAATGAGGTTTGCTACTCAGAGTCTGACGTGGAGAATTTCACAGCTGGTCACTGCAGAGTAAATGGATCTATTAACAGCTACCCCACAGACCCAGTTCTAAACAAATGGGCCTTGCTTCTCTTTCAAACACTCTTCTCCAAGGTCTACCTTAGCAGATAAATTATATGAGAAAAACTAAACTATAAAAGCACACCCAAAAATCAGTTCACTGTGATAAATCAAGACCTCTCTAGCAATCCGGCAAGAAAAGTTCAAATCTTGCACCACGGTTACCAGGGTCAACCATCTGAGAATTTACCAATCCAGTAACACAAGAAGAAACACATTTCCCAAAACTCTGAGAACAACAAAGCTTGTAAGCAATGCTTTGGGAAGATATTCCACCTGTACCATGTGACCAGAAAGGAAAACATGGGAGCACTTGCCTGATCCCGTGTATATTCTTGATGGCATAACTTATCTCTCTCCTCAGTTCCTTCTCATTGAATTCCATCTAGAGGAACAGAAGCACACAAGAAAACATCAGGGGAAGGTTTCAACAAAACAGAAAATATCCCCTCTCCCTCTATAACCATAAGACAAGCAAGTTCAGCTGTTAAAATAGTAATTTCTAATTACACCAAACAATGCGTAAGTATTTTAAAGTGTTTTAGAACTAAGGCAACAGGCAGCAATAAATATTGTTGAAAATCACACCCTCTTCCATTCCAGGTATACCAACAGCTGGAATGATTTTGAAGAGTTGACAAAGTAAGCCAAAACCAGGATTTGGAAGACTCCAGGTTTTTTTTTTTTTAAGCCTGGTTTCTCAAGTGATTCAACTTCCGTGATTATGATCTGTTTATCCTCCCCTTCCCATTCTACAGTTTTCAACTAAATTTAAGAGAAGAGTTGTCTCAATTATGAAGTTATAAATTTTTTCTTTAAGTTTCTTGGAAGGCAGCTGGCTGGAAGAGAAGTCAGTGTTGTCGCAAATAAAAGGGTCATTACCTAAGTCAACCATCACAGAATGATTTGGGTTGGAAGGGACCTAAAGGGCTATTTTCCATAACTCTCATTTTAATAGACACCAGCTACTTGAACACAAGTCAAATTTACCAACTGTAACTATTTGCCTATCCCCTTTAACCAAAGAAAGATGCCATTTGTGATAAAACAACAGGAGAGCACAGAAAATAGTATGAACTGGGGCTGTAATTCTATTCTAATTATTTTATTTTAGAATTCTTACATGTCTCAGTGTCCAATCCTAGAAATTAAGCCAAATGTCTCAATTATAATTTCACGTAATTTCTTCCACAGTTAAAAGCGTATTCTTTCAATCAGACCTTTTCTAGGCTACACCACTATCAGTATGATCATAAGGAAACAGAAATAAAATAAAGCACATCAGCAAGATGGATAAATACCTTCACGAGTTCAAAGGGAAAACGTTCATGGAAAATACGATTGATTTTGGCACCTCCTGAAAGTTCCAGCGTATCAACTTGATCTCCTGATCCTTCAATTCTTTTTTCAAAGTCCACTGAAAACTGCTGTACCATCCTAAATGGCAAAGGAGGGAGGAAAGGAAAAAAGAACAAACAAAACCCAGAACAATTTAGGCATATTAGCTACCAACTCTTATTTCAGTACTATGCAACTAGTACTGCCTATTCAAACATATTTAGCAATTGCCAAAAGTATCTGTACTACTGATTCAGCCAAGTTGCCAATCCACAGAACCCCTACCTACACACATTCCCCTGCATCCCTGTCTTGCAGTACAGTCTAATAGCATGATCTGAATCCAGTGCTGCAAAATTCAGAAGAGATTTGGAAGGAACTTCTTTTCCCCATGCCAAAAGGCAAGCCGAAGTACCAGTACTAACATGGTGATGTGTCAGTACCACAAGCTCCAGCTTACTTGGCTCTGCTTTGATTTCTACAGCAGGAGCATTCAGAAAAACCCACAGGAGAGTTCTCTCAGTCATGGAAAAGTCAAAGGTGATGTCCCTCTGTTCTTGCAACCAAAACATCTGGAGTGAAGTCCCGAGGAACGTCTGCTCTTTTGGACACAGTTGTTGCAAAAATAAAGAGTAAATCAGAGTCTTCATCTGGCTCAAGAAAGCCTCTCTAGGTTCAGCTGATTACTTTCCCCTCTGAATTCCAAAGTTTTAATTAGAGAATGAATCCAGCCCCAAACTTACACATTAGCACAATCCAGTGCTCTTACCATCTACCCCAGAGAAATGAAAATGCTGAAAAGCTCAGAAATCAGTCAGAGCAGGAATGTGACAACAGGCATATAAGAGAGAAGATCTAGGTACATTTGCACTTCTTCTTTTTCCTTCACATGCTTCCTCTCTAAGAGGTAAAGTTCAGTTGCATATAAACACAGAGGGCTACAGCTGAAGAAAAAAAAAATGGGAGAGCCAAAATGGCAGCTCTTTCAGGTGAAAAGATAGGCAGTACTGAGTATCCAGCATCCCTGGAAACAGGCCAAGGAAGGAAGGAAGCAGATGCAGCAAGGCAGCAGCTGCTAACTGGTGTTCAATCCACAACATCAGCATTGTCCTTTCTCCCTGATGCTAAATCCACAATCAAAACAGGGCTGTGATTCCACCTGCACTTGATTCCAAGTCAGATGAACAGTGATCTCTGTTCCATGGCTGGTATCAAAGTCTCATCACACAGACTTATTTTGTGGATGGGACCCAAACCAGACAGTGACTTCAGCAGTGAAAAATCAGTTCAGAACTGATTATGGTAATCCCCAAGAATTTGCCTTGCTGCTTTCTGAAAGCACACAAACTTTTACTGACAACTCCTGCAGCAAAGATCTCTGGGTCCTAGGTGCACAGAGTATGAAGGACAACCATCTTTGATTAATTTTGATCTTGCCATCTCTAGGTTCTTTTGAACAGCCAAGTTTTTATACTAGAAAAAGAAGCATTCTTTATTCTTCTTCCAGCCTCCTCATCCTACAGACTCCAGGACAATGTCTCTCCCTTGCTTGAGGTCATCTTTTGGCAGACAGAAGAATATGTCTACACAATCAGAAGCAGTTTTTTACCTTTGATCATCTCTGCTGCCCATCTTCATGCCTTTTCCTTGTTCTGCTTTCTCCCTTTTTTAGGATTACTAAAATTAATTTAGGGAAAATTCTGTTGAAATTGTAGAATAAATCAAGTGTTCTGGAACATCAAATACAGAAATCTTTGGAGCTTGTGCAAAGAATCCTTAACAATATCCTAATGTTTAAATTTAAACCAATCAGAAAGAAGGGGGAAAAAGCAAAAAAAAAAACCATTCAAAGTGGAAAAGCAGACAAAAGACACTCACTGCAACAGGGCTTTTGTTTTTCTGGTGGGATCTTCTGGTCTGAAGTTTTTGTATACCTCTACTTCATGTTCTATAGAAAGCAGCTGGCTCTGGAGTTTGCTTCTGAAAGCTGGCAGGGTATCCCGAATATGATTGGTAAGTTGCTAAAAAGCAAATAAAAGTCTTTTTATACTGTCAAAAAGATGAAAGCAGGAGCACAACCATTTCCTTCTGACTGCCAACCTTATCAGCCATGACCTGTGCTAGTTTACCAGTGCTGTTCCTTTTGATCTCTGATGCATTGGAGACTTTTAAAGAACAATTCAATATTCCCAGTGCACACAAAATTCCATCATCCTCTCACTCACTGAGCGCTGTTACTACACATCTGGATAGTTACACCTGAGAAAGTTACACACATTACATGGGTAATTTAAAATTATCTCTCATCTCTCTGTGCTGATGCCACACTCCCATTTTGCTGCTTTTCTTAAGGGTGTTTCACAATTCCCTAAATATTTTGTTCAGCACAACAACTCCTTTATGCTACAGCCACAAGGCAAAGTGGGAAAGAATATTCTGAGCACCCACAGCATGACAGCATGCTTTTACATATACATATATACATACATATATATACACATACATATATATGTTTTAATATATTAGGACAGCACTGTCTATGACTTACCTGTGCCATAAATTTCCCAGGTATTGTACACACTCCTTAATTAAAAGCAAACTGGACTTCTTCCACCATGCCCCAAACCCTCTCCCAACCCCAGCCAGATAAGCTGTACATTTAAGCTGCCATACACCAAAAGATATAAACTCAAGTTTAAAGTTGTTCAGCAGACTGACAGGCACAAAATCAAAAGCTGGAGTTTCCCTGGAGCACCACCTTGTGGATACAAAGAAACTGAAATATTACCTGAAACCACAAAAGTTCCCCAATATCTTAAGGGCAGAACTTATGTAGATCTTCCCATATACAACATTCTACACACAGTAAAAGCAACAGAAGATGATCAGTTCCTACTGAAGTAGGTAAATATTGAAAACAGCTCTCAAGAAAGTTAATAGCATATAAAGAGTCAGGACAGACAAGACAGTTGAAAGGTATGTGCAGCTTGTGTTTTGGTCTCAAAAATAAGACCTATGGAATAAACTTTCAAGACGTAAAACAAGGCAAAACATTATAAACACAGAAAAAAATGCAGGGTACAAGCAAGTTCTTGCATCCTGATGAAGACTTTCACTCTGAGGCACAAGTACATGGCATTAGTAGTCTTTTTGAGGCAGCCCAGAGCATTTCATAGCGTGGCTTTGCAATTACAGCTGCAAAGTCACTGTAGCAAAAAATTAAGCAGAGCAGCCATTCAGTTTTCTACTTTAATCAGGAACGTTCCAGCTGCTTCCAGCTGCTGGCCAAAATGGACAAAGCCAGGCTCACCTGGTCTTTGTCTATTCCAGACAAAAAGCTGCAATTTGACAGTGAGCTGGAAAAAACAGTATCAAGTTTGACTTGTAGGAATGCCACAAACACTGGGCAACTGACAAGTTAAATGTAACAATTGAGGAATAGGATGGTATACTTCCAGGGAGGGAAAGAAATCTTGGTTTTGATGTTCATATTTAGTATTCCAAAGAACAGCAGAGTACACAACTGCCAGTAAAAGTCAGAAACTACAACTCACAGCAAGCTTTTGTACCTACATGAAATACACAACTTTGTTTTTACCATGTGCAAATTAAAAACACTGAAAGCAGGACAGGATGAGTGAGGTTGAGAGACTAACTTCATTTTAATACAGTTTTTATAATGGCCCTATCATTGCAAAGCTGCCTTTCCCCACAAAGGTTTGAGGTGTTACCTGGTTTAGAACTTTCTGGAGATACGGTGTTCCCATCCGATCTGCCATGTGCCTGTAGGATGGGTGGGAAAGAAAGAATTTCCTTTCTGCTAGAAGAGCTGCTTTTATGTCCTTCTTCCCATCAATGTCCTTCTGGCTTCTGTTTACAACACCAATATAACCTAAAACAAGACAAAACCAATGGATAAATCAATGCAGCTATTGCCTGAACCACTAAATTCATCTTAAATAGAACCAGACTGTCTCAGCTCAAACAAAACTTTCCAATTCAGGCATTTCAGATCATGTTTACAAGTAGAATAGTAACTTTAACACTGTCTAAATTGTTCATTCTGTTTACATTTAGCAGATAGACTTCCTTTAAAATCACCACTTCAAATAGAGAAATATCTGAAACTCTGATGAAGCCCAAAGAAACCACTTTAAAAATAAGCACAGAAAAATCCAAATAAAATTTAAACACGCATACAGGTCTATGCAGATAAATGATACGACATTAACAAAATACAAAAAAAAAAAACTTCTTCTCATTTGCTTGACCAACTTGCTCCACAGGAGAACACAGTAAATCACCAGTAAATTATAACTAGAATCAAAGTTTTTGATATTATTTGCAGAATGAGCAAATGTGGCAGTAGCTGCCAGAACATGGAAAATTTCTGACAAGGATCAAAACTGGTTTACAGTGAGATTACCAAAGTTCTGGTGTTTGCTTCTGTCATATGCAAAGAAAAAAAAACCATTCTTTTGTTACAAGGAACATGGCAGAAAATAAAAATATTGGCTAATGATGTGTGCTGGCATTACATTGCATATTCCAGAGGAAGCAAGGATTTTCCAGGTCCAGAAAGGATATTTTTAGCATAGCCACCTTTATGTTCGCTGAATAGATAACTGCAAAAGCAAGGAATACATCAAGTCCAGCATAACTTTGGATTGATCTCCAGGATTCCCAAACACCATCCTTATCCAAACCACCTCTGGACTGCAAAGAATAAAGGCAACTGAACATTCTCACCTCTGCGAAGAGGAAGGAGTTTGTTTTCTAGAACTTCTCTTGCATCTGTTCCTTCATCCATCAGATCCAATTTTGTGATCACACCAATGGTTCTAAGGCCTGACCAGAGTGGAAGCAGGAGGAAAAAGTTATTGAAGAATCATTTAGAGTCAGAAGAACAATTTCACCTTACAATTATGTTACAACATATCTGTGCCCTTCTCAAAGCTATCACACAATAACAGCTCCAACTCAAGTTATGATATGTCTGGAAAGGTAGGGAACATAATTGCCAGTGCTGAAATGTGTTCCTCAAAACTCCTTAACAAGGCTCAGCATCCCTACAATATGACTGTATAAAATTTATCATCCAGAAATCCCATCAGTACCATCCCCTATTTTGCCCAGTACTACAAAAATTCATAGATAAGCACTGCTCCACTTGCTTGTAAGAGACAGACAACATTTTTAAAATTCATTTACAGCACCATTACCCAAACAATACTGAGCTAACAAACAGTTACCTTGTGATGCTGAAGATTGTATGGAAATGTAACTAGAAATCTATATTACATATTATAAATTACAGAATTTCCCATAAGAGTTGGTCTGTTGTTTTCAATTATGTTATTACGCTAGAGAACAAAAAGTGGTGACACTCAATCCTGCTTACCCTGAGGGTCCACTTCCTTTGCCAGCTTCAGGGCATCTGAGTTGGCCAGGTCAGTGTTAGCTGGAGTCACAGCCAGGATCAGGCAGTTCTCCCGAGAGATGAACTGCATTATCATGTCTCTGATCTGCTGCTCAATGTCCGGAGGCTGATCCCCCACTGGCACTTTGGTGATTCCCGGCAAATCAATAAGGGTCAGGCTTAAGACTACATGGACAACAAGGATCATAAAACTGGTTAGAACACCACACATGACAAAGGGGTCAACACAGCTATGGCTGCACACAAGTTTTGGGCACATAAAACCCCACAGAACTACCTGTACAGGCAGATAAATATGTCAACAGTTGTCAACAGTTCAAACAAAATGCCTGACAATCTGCAAAGACTTGTTTCCCCGTTGGTCTTACATCTCTGGATTTATTAGTACTATTTAATATTAATATTTAATATTTGAAATATTGCAACTGGTATAGACTGATACTTTTATCAAATATCCTTGAGGGCTCCAAGACAAGTTAACAGAGCTTTCTGACCTTTATCCAACAAAAGGTGCATGGGCAACAGACCACTTGCATTGCATCCTCCAAATAAACCAAAACAGTTGTTTGGATTTTATTTTTAAAATAGTGTTTCTCTGACCATGTTTTCAATCACGTTTCTAATTAAGAAATTCCCATAAAACAATCAATAGCTAGCCTAACTTATATAGCAAAACTGCTGTTAAGGGGCTTGGGGATATGTTGTTGGTTTGGGGGGTTTTTTGTTGGTTTTTTTTTAATCTGTAACATCCTCAGGATAGTCAGAAAGATGAAAAAATTAATCTATTAAGAAAACCTCATTTTCTCTGGTATGATTTCCCTAGTAAGGGCCACAGTGCCAACTAGAGGCATCCTGGCTGGGGTAAGCATCCTGCTACTGGGGCAAAAGGGCATCCTTTAGACAATGCTTCCTAGGAAGGAAATACCAGAAGTACTGGAGTATGGTTTATATATATATATATATATATATATATGTATATATATATATATATATATATACACACCCCAGTAGTTGGAGTCTGGTTAATATAGACAGCCATGGCTGAACTAAAAGATTGATCCTCATAAAACAAAGCAAGAGCAATAGGTAGGAAATTTTCACTTTCTCCCAGAGTCAGCATGTTCAACAAACAAGTTTTGAGGCAGGGGATTTAGTTGAGCTTCTCTGCAGCTAAAAAAATCACATGCTTCAGCCAAACACACCACTTTCGTCCTATATCAAAGACAAATTCAATGGAAAACATTTTCTCTAGATTGTCTTCATTAAACTGGGCAGATGGCAACCAGAGGAACCAACTTTGATGTATACAGGGGGTCTTCACCAGAAAGCAACTTCAAACACTGTTATTGTCTGACTATATTTTTAGTGACAGCAAACAATAAATTTTCAGTGAAGCAGGGAGACACAGAGACTTTCTAGATCAGGGAATACCTCTGGAGAGTGCCAAAAAGAAGTTTTGTTACTAAGTCCCATTACTGGTCTTTACTAACTCAGCCTTGAACATTTTCCAGCCCAGATCAGGTAATAAAAACAGATACAAAAAGTGATGGCTGCACAGACAGAGCTACATAATATGTTTATATGACATAAATGTAAAGTAGAATGATTTTACCTACCATGTGGAGAATATATTCTTAAATTAATAGGAACTGAAGAAATGCCTTTGTTCATTCCTGTTACTCTATCTGTTTCTACTTCAATTTCCTGACGAACTTCATCAAAATCAGTAAATTTCTTCCCTTTGCAGTGTAGAAATTCAGCATACTCTGTCAAGAATATCAATAACAACTCTGTATTTCACAGGCTCATTGACTTGCATACCCACTTTCAAGCCCCCAGGTTCTTCAGATGTGTGGGCACAAAAGTTGGTCATCATGGCTATCAGAAAAGCATTATTATGACTGCACATATGAAAACCAGCTCTCAACAAGAAAGGCTCAGTTAAAAGTCAAGTTGACTGGATATGATTTACTGCTCCTATCTTTAGCACATCATCTTCTGGAACAATTGAATCTTTCAATTAGATGCCATTTACAGTAAGAGAATAGGGAACAGATTAAGAATGAGATTCTGAGTTTTCATCTGATCTCATTTGCCTCTAATACATCCTAAATAGAAAAGTAATACAAATTCTGTATCATGAAACATTTTTAGCATTTGCTTCAAAAACTAATAGCCCATGTTACACACAAATTTAGTAAAGGAATTCTGTAAATTTTTGCAAGTTCAAAATGAAAATAAGATCACTTAAAAACACTGTAATGCTTTTAACACAGCTTCTCATTTCCTAAAAGCTTCCTGTAGCCTAAATATGAATCATGTTTACAAGTTTGCAAAAGCGTCTACAGAAATAGCTGTGATTTTTCTGAAGTGGGAGAACACAAATAATTCCCAAGCCTTTAATTTCATACAAGCTGCTGTTTTACCTTAGAAAATCATTGACAAGGAATGAGAGACAGATAATTTGTTAAACCCGAAATTGACATTTAGTCCCTGTTTTGACTTTTGAATCCAAATGCTGATACTAATTATTGCAACCTTTTGGTGGCCTGCACAACCAAAGCACATCCCAGGATTTTAAAACTGGAGTTTTTTCCTTCAAAGCAGAACACAAAGGTTTATCAACATAGTGAGGCTGCCATCAGAAATGATGACATAAACAGTAATTCCAGACACCAGCTCACATCCTGTCCCCAGCAGGTCAGAGCTGTAGGACTGGGGAGAGGCTGAAAGGACTTGTGCACGTTCCAGCTCATTTCATCCTGCAACCGAGGACTGATCCCAAAGCTCCCTTCAGAAGTTTCCTCCCCAGAAAATGTTACTTGGTAACAAGCCCAGACAGCCAGAGCAAAGAGCTTGCTTGGTACTCAAAGAACAGCAGCTGACAACACCAAATGTGAGAATATGGATTAAAAGAGGACTTTATGTGTCAGCACTGAAGCCTGCTCCCCAGAAGTCACTTTGTTACTATAACTGACAGAGCTTTTAAAAAAAAAAAAAAGAAAAAAAAAAGTAGTAAATAGTCAAAACTACAATGAATAGTTAAAGCAAACTGACAGAAAAACGGACAGAGTGGAGGGGAAAACATCAAATATTCACCTGTCTGTGCTTCTATACCATAATCCCTCCAGATTCAGTGTGTGGGGCAACTCACCCTTGTTCAGACAAAAATACATCATTTATTTCAAAAACAAGGGAGCACCTAAAAATAAGCACTTTATTTTACATGCTTTTTTCAGCTCCAGCAGCAAAATGATAATGAATGGGAGTTTTGCTTGATTATCCACTGTTAATTAAAAAAACAAAAAAAACCCAACCAAACAAAAAAAAAAAAAAAAAAAAAAACCCCAACAAAAAAAAAAAAAAAAAAACCACACCCCTCCAAAAAAAAAAAAAAAAAAAAAAAGCAAAAAAACCCAGGGAATATTCAAAACTTTCAAAAAGAAAAAAAACATGGTATACAAAATAAAATATCTCAGTTGAGATTTTACATTTGTAGAATTTGTCATCTCAAGGTTGGCAAATAGATACCTAATGAAAAAAAGAGCTGACAAGTGGTTCATATTTTACCCCATTTCTTCATGCACAGCTCCTGGTATAAAACATACATATTCTTCCTAGTTATTTTTCCCCCCAGTGGATCATCATATTTTCTCATGAAATTATTTCTACATCCAGTAATTAACAGTTGGTGCCCATCTGTAAGCAGTTGAGTTGGTAGCCAAGGAAGCTTTTTCTCTTTTTCCCACTTCACACTCAGTAATAAATTCACTATCTGACAAGACTTCAAAGGAATCCAAATTAAAATGCTTGCTACTTTTTAGCTGGGTCCATGTTTATCCAAACTCCTTGCTCCTGGTGCCATCTGTGGTGCCAGCAGGGCTGAAGGAATAAACTCCACGGTGGCTCCTAACCTGTGGTGCCGCACGCAGCCTACGGAATAAGAATTCCAAGGGACAAGCAGAGCTTTGTTCTGCTCCTTTCAGCCCTCAGCCTGCCCTTGGCAGTGATGCCTTCAGCCAGGCTGGAGAAGCACATGCTTTAATGCAATCTTCACTTTCCAGCTTTCAAGCACAGAAGAACACTAGCAAAATGTTTCATTTACGTTTTTGTGGGAATGGACACAAAGCTAGGCAAAAAAAAAAGAGATCCTGCCTGACATCTAGCTTTCAGACATGTATTTCTGGTATAAAATTGAAGTTACAGTAATAGAAAGAACAATTAGATACAAAATTAAAAACAGTCCTTGCATGTAAAATAACGGGTTTTTCCCCCAGACTCATTAAAAGCACCTTGGAGAGCATAAAATTTAAAGGATTAAAAGGCTACCAGAGCATAGTTCCTTCAGTGCATCCACAAGTGATTAAGTATCTCTTCAGTTTTGATTAAATTAGACAAATCATACAAATGAGTGAGATGGGATCACATCTTTTAAAATGTTCCTTATTTTTCCTGTCAGCTATATCTCTGTATGCCTTTCTGATTTAATCTAGAACAATGATATATTGTTATGAGCACTGAACAGCCATTGCTGTTCTCAAGCTATTTAAATTGTACAAACACTTATGACATTTCATAAATTTGTCTCTAAGCTAAAGAGAGAGCCAAGTGACAAGGATCAGCCCTAAGGAGTCCATAAGGGATGTTTTGGAAAACATCCCTGACCCACATCAGGCTGAGCCCAAGAGCTTACAAATCCCAAAGATTTTACTCCATACACAATCTGTTACTAGAGGTCAGGAATTCACCAAGATCAGAGACCTGGATTCAGAACTGCTTCCAAACTGATTTCAAACAGAGTTGCTCCAAGCTGGTGGCAGTATCCAATGCAGGGTAATCAAAAGGGATTAAATCAAAAGGGATTAAAAGTGTTCCAAAAAGTGGTTCATTAAATTGTAGGCCTGCAGCAAACATTTTAAATGTAGGCAGCACAGGAGGAGTATCTGCTACTACTGCACCTTCCATCTGCCCCTTGGGGAGATATCACTCAAGCAACAACACTTCTTACTTCAATAAAGCATCTCCCAAAGCCTCAGAACTCTTTCCAAAAGACTGATTTCAAGAGGGTGTTTTAAAAACACACAAATAAACATCATCAGCCAAAGTACTTCACCTCTTTTTTGGTGATGGGCAGCTTTTTCTGAACAAAGTAAATGCAGTTAAGTGAATCTGGGCCATAGCAAATCATTCAATAGTGCTTCCTTGAAAAGAGAGGAAGTATAAAAAGCTCTTCTTGTCCTACCCAATCTACAATCCCTCTTCTGCTTTGCCATTTCTGTAGATTTTCTAAAAAGCTGAAGATGAAATACTCAAAACTGAGTTATTCCACTGCTAACCTGCAAGCAGAAAGGCTGTAAGAAATAGAAGTACCCTGGCATTTCCTGAAGACAAACCAGCAAATCCTGGGAATGCAGAGAATTACAAGAATATCATAGCAGAAGATATTAAACATGGAAAACAGTGCAGATCTGATAAGGTAAGTACCACAAGATAACAGGTCACACTCTTAGGAACCAGTGAAATGGTTCATTACAAGGATAGACACTCGTACCTGAGGAGGAAAAGCATTCTTTTGGATGCAATAATCTTCCACAACCTTGACATTTTTTGTTTGCAGAAGGAATTTCTCTCTGTTCTTTCAACCATTTCCTATGGATGATGCTTTCTCTAGTTCCAAGCCCTCACACAGCCCTCCTCCAGGACTTTTTTTTCCTAAATTTACAGAGGCAGAGCTCTCACCAGAGCTCTCTCCTTCCCAGGACTGAGGAAAAGCAGAACCTCGTAAGACTGCATTTCTGTGCTGCATCTTGTACAAGTTGGCTTCTTCATTTCACAACAGCATGACATCAGCGAGTTGTGCTCTGTCAGAGATTCACTGTGAGCACCAGGTCCTTTTCTGAAAACCAACCTTTTTCTCAAATACCAGCCTTTCAATACAGCAAAAAACACATCCCAGCTGAATTGCTTCTTACTTTGGGGATATTTCTCTTCTTTTGCAAGCAATTTGAATTCCAGTTCTGCCCACCAGTATCTCTCATATTCTCGCTTGTATTTGCCAAACACCAACTTAATAAACATACTCCATTCTGTCATCCTATCAATAATACAAAATACTGAACATCACCTGGAGGGGTGTCCCTTCCACTCTAAACAGCTGTGAATCCATCTCACAGGAGTCCTTGCTAAATCATGTTTTCCAAGACTGCTCATAATATTTTCAAAAAAATGAATAATTTAAAAACCTTTACTGTAGCAAAGATAAGATACCACCTCACCTTGATTTACAAGCCTGCTACCCTGTAATAGAAAAAAAAATATTGCACTGATACAACAGAGATATTTTCCTTAATTAGTTTGTGTTGGCTGCTGTTCATCTCAAATACCTTTCAGATTGTTTGCTAATAACTACTTAGATTTCTTTCTCCTAAAAGTGAACTTTGGCTGATTCTTCTGTCACCTTCCTTTAGTATCTTTGTGAAGATGATATCTTTATCATATATAGAGCCATTTTCCAATCTTAATGAGGAGATTCCATCTTTCCTAATGTCACAGAGCACCAATCTGGGATAATGGAAACAAAAGCTTCCAGGCAAAACCACACGTAAAACCAAGTATTTGTAGGTACCATTAATTTGTCCCAACGTGAGCTGAAGCTCAAATCCCATTTTGAGGGTCCTGATGAGAAAAGTGGCTGAGCCCAGCAAGCCATCCTGCCAGACCTCAGCAGTCACTGGGATGAGCTCAGATCGCCCCTACAGACAGCAACAGCTGGGAGATTTGCAGGGGCAGAGCACATCTGCAGTTTCTCTGACCTTACACAAGCTTAAATGCAGGTTTCAGACCAGCAGCACTGTCTCTCTTCCAGGATGCCAGCACTGTTTGGGGGATGAGCCTTTCCTTAGCTCAAAAAGGGGTCACCCATCATTACCATCTTTTCCTACGGCTGGTGGCACTTTTTAGCTTTTGGGGTACACACCTCAGTAATTTCACTGATCTCTCCAGCATCCCTGCTCACCATCTGGATGAGAGTGGGATCCAGGAAATGGCAGGCACTGTCAGCCCTTCCTCGAGGTAAAGTGCCTGCTCTCTTTCCTGCTATTGGCACCGTGGCATTTTTCCAGTTTTTGTCCTTAAAGACCTTCAAATGCCTGCCATCTGATGAAGTCTCCAAGATCATTTGTGTTAGCTGAAATAACCTAAAATTCAGTCTAAATTCTTTTTATATTTCTGTTTCTGTTCGAGGATTGTTTTTGCCACCAGGTGGCAACAGAAGATGGCTATGAGCAAGGAGTAGTCTTGCAATACACGAAATTTTGATTAAAACTCTACAATCTCAACAGAAAAGAGCATCTGCAAGACTTCAGAAAAAATCAGAATGTCTTTTGAACCTCATGATTTAATTTCCATTTAGTATTCTAATTAATAGAACTCAAACAAATGTGGATATTGTAAATATGACTCATTTCTCTAACAAACCTCCACCTCAGCAAAGAACTTCAATATCTGTTAATCTGCTGAAGCAAGAAGAAAATCTGAAATTGCTCCAAAAACAGTTATCAAAATAAGGAAAATAACTCTCCTAGAGCCAGGATATTTAAGATGTAAATAACAAATACCAGGATTTATACAGCAGGCAATGTATTTTTAACAAAGAGAAGACCTACTACAAAGGCTTCATGTATTTTTTGTTGGCACTGCTGCTCAAAAACAGTGTACTACCTGATCTTGAAGAATCTAGTCATTATCTCACCTGCAGAGGCAGAAGAAAGCACAGCAAGAAGAACAGATTGCCTAAGGTTATACCGAATGTGTGGCAGCAGAAAGAAAAAAATAAACCACAAACAAAACCCACAAGAAAATGAAAAACAAACAACAAACCAACAAAAACACAAACCCATCTCTCAAGATCTCAAGTAATTTCAAGTCATTACCTTCTAAAGGTTACTCAGCAGCACCACTTAAAATACCTATTAACTCCAACAAAAACTACTTAACCTTACTGCTGTATTAGATCAAAAACCACCGAGCTAAGAACTATACTCAAACTTGTGAAACAAAAACTTAGGATGTTGAAGAAATAAGTTTTAATGTAAAAATTAAGGAACACCAACTCAAAGGAAGAAAAGCCCAACAGCTCACAAGCACACTCGAAATTCTCATCCCAGGTCATCTGTGCACCAACACTTGGATCTTAAAGACACACAATTTTTCACATTATCAAACTCAGAGAAAAATACTCAAAACTAATAAAGACTGACTTGTTACTTGCAATATTTAATTCAAAACTTAGTATTTGCCTTCAGTATTTCAGCAGAGTAGAAATTTGCATGAATGTGGAGTGCAAATGCCATAAAGCCATTTAGGAATTGTACTGGTACCACCAAAACATGTCAGTGACTAAAGGAGGCCAACAGGTCACTGCGAAATAGCTTTGTACAAACTACACAGAACTTTTAAAATAGGTAAACAAAATTCTAAAAAAAAAACCCATATATACTCCACATCTCTCATGAGATGCATTTCTTACAAATGTTGTTTAATGTCACCAGCTCTTTACCCAGATGTGTCAGATCTCTTAGGTGCTGGAGGACCCCTGGTAACCCCTCCCAACCAATTCCTGCTGCACCATTCCATTCCATGTCTGTCCCTGATAATGGATGGGCAAAGTTTTCTCTTTCTTTGATGTGCACAAATGCCTCCTCTGCTAATTTTCACCTCTTAGTGCTGTGACTCAAATGAAGCTTTTACCTCCTTTGTCAATCAAATTCACATTCCAAAATTATTCTCAGCCACTTCCAAAATGTTGCTGAAGTATCTTGTAGTCATCTGTGCATGCCTGCATAGAAAATGCCCCTCTCCCCCAAGGAAGACTCCAAGATTAAGAACAATTACTTTTTAAGAGTCAAGAAAAATCCTAGGATTAAAAATTAGTTTTGTTTACTACAGCAACAAGAAGCTGATACAGCCCTCTAATTATTCTGTAACATTTTGGATAATTATGGGCTTCATAGAAATCAGCCCAGCATCTGCTTCCTGTAAAAGAACACTGTGCTTCACTAAGCAGTTTTTTTTTATTTTCTTTTCTTAAAATTAGTTCACAAAGATAAAAGGTGACTTAAAAGATAAAGTTACTTGGAATTTCACCATCAAAAACAACAACAGTGGAACAAAGTTTAAAGAAAGTAACAAAATAATTAAAGCTTGCATTTTAAAGGTCTTGGCATTTAATCCCTAACAAGAACTACACAGCATTTCCCAAAGGGAGAAATAAACCTTGACATCCAGGAAACACAAAATTAGGCTGAAACTCAGTTCTCCTGAATTTTTTAAGGTTTTTGTTGAGTTATTTAAACTATAATGAAGAACTAATTTTCAGGAGAGAAAGCACCTGTATGAAACCTAGAGGCCTACCTAAAGGCTGTAATATTTTAGGAACATAGTAATGAGGAAAAGCAGATAGAGAAACACCCTAAACTAAGGGACAGTGATGATTTTATAAAAGAGGTCAACACAGAGCAGTCTGGGTAAGCTGAGGATGGGTGTCAATGAATAAGTATCTAACCACTTGAGGTCAGATATAAGACAGGTCCCCTCAGTTCAGTCTTTTTGAAAGGATTCAAAAAGCTCAAAGCTTTTGTTTCTTCTGCTTTTGCATGGTGCTGGTAAAGTCAGATGAAGATTCTCCACAGTTAAGTCTTATTCATGCATTTCTACATCATCTGGCAGGGGCCAAAAGCCAGATCTGCAGAAATGGCAAGTGTTCATTCCTACAACTAAAACAAATGTTAACATATACCATATATAAAGCACTGTAAGTGTACGACACACTTGACAATCCTAAAGTTTCTAAGCTGAGCATGCAGAAATACTGAATTCCACTGTTTTTCCTTTCTCTTCCATAGTGTAAACACCATGGAAAATTTTATAGAAGCACTGAAAGTATGACGGCATTTTAAAAGCAATAATTCAGAAAACACCCTGAAGCCCAAACAGACTGCAGTCTACCTTCCTGTTGAACACTGTGAAGACCTTCAGGAAAGAAACACACACAGAAACTTAATTGCACCTCACACACAGGGACAGACTAAAGTTTTACAGGCAGCTATAATTTTGGTTTTTCCCCAGTTTCACCATGGTACATAATTCAAAGACCGCTTTGTGGTTTCAGTGCTGGTTTGGATGTTATTTTGTTTCTTTTTTTACTGTTTTGAGCAGAAGTAAATAGCAAACAAGTGATTTTTGTTGCTTGCATTGATTTAGAAGTACCAACACCAAAACTGGAATGATGGTGAACCATAACTGCTTTTAGATGTGCCAGGGAACTGAGCTATACCACAGCAGATCAGGTGCCCCATGGAAAAGTACAAAGTGGTGAATTCTCATGAAAGATCTCAATATGTCCCATAGCTTAGTGGTACACCCAAAGATATTTATATTTTTGACCAGACAAACACAAAGAACCCTTGTTTTCCCCCAATCCACCTTCTGCTCTACTTAGTGCAGTGAGCCCAACCACAAAAGACAAGTTCTGAAAACAGCCTCTGTGGAATCAAATCTGTGTGCATTGGAGCAAGAGTTAAAGGTAGAAGTGCAGCAATCTTGGTGTGTTAACTAATACAACTGCAAATCTCATCAAGAAATTAATAAACCAAAGCTAATTTCTAAAGCATATTGCACGCAATGATGTGGATTCAATTCACCATGTGCTCTAGGATTTAGACATTATCGTTTTCCCACAATGGCTAATGTGATGAGTTGGTCCTGAGCATAGAATTTTGGAGCAGCAGCCCTTTGTTCCAGACAGTCTTATGGCATCTTCCTTCACACTGCTCATGTCTTCTTAGAGAAGTTTTTTCTCCTGCTGAAGTACATCAGCACTTTGTCCAGGCATTGACCCAAAAAGAGGAAGAGATTACCTGTTTTGGCAGTGATGAGCTGCAGGACCAATGGTCGTCTTGTCACAATTCCAGAACCTCGTGGAAGAAAATCCCTAGAAACATCAAAAAAATAGTAACTAGCCAGAAGTAATATACAGTTACATAAGATATTGGACTAATTTGAAACCTCCTCTGCATGAAAATGGAAAGGTGGTGTGGATAGATTGATAGCAAATACTCCTGTAAAGCAGGGCTGTTAATTTTGGTTCAGGATAGTAGCTGGTCATTACATATGAGACAAATGTGTATTAAAGCTAAATTATTGTCTCAGGGCATTCCCAAGCCTCCTCAAGACCATCACATATAACATCTCACCTTGCACAGTAACACTACCTGAAGCCATGCCCAGATTTACCCAAATTATTCTGTCATCACCGCACACTTAATCTGAAGAGGATCTGGACACACCAGAGCTCTGGACAAACCAAACTGGCAGCCCTCTGCACTACTCTTTCACACACTTAACTTCTGCCAGTTCAAATCCCCAAATAACTTTTCCACCAACACACCTGCCCAGAAGTTTCTGAGTAACAGCAGAACACCAGAAGTCCTGTAGGATAGAGGGAAAGAGCGTCCTTGGACCAGAAAGGAAGCAAGTAAACAAAAACACCAGCTCTACCACATAATTATGCATGTCCATGAGCCTTTCCATATTTCTAAAGACAGGGAGACTCCTTATGCAACTGGAAAGAAAGAAACCAAAGCAAAATAAAATTCAGGGGTAAAGAGAATTTCATAAGCAATGTAAGCTCATCAAAATCCCCTCATTTTTCCTGCCTTACAAGGGATGTTGAATCACTTTCCTGCCTGCCTTAGCAGCATTGCTAACTCACTTTTCTGGCTCAGGTGAAAAGCAGTGCAGCAAAGGCTTAGGGCAGGAATTTTCAGTCCAAGGGCAGAGCTGATCTGGGTGACTGTTGTTATACACCTAGTGCCTGTACAAAGGTGAGGCAGGAATGTGCAGTGTCTTTGGGAGGGATGGGGAGAAGGACAAGAGCCAAAAGAACAAAGCACAGCCCTGCCAGCCCTTTAGACAGAACTGCTCAGCCACTTGGGAAATCACCTCCTGCCTGTAATAACCGCTGAGGATCTTCACACCGACCTTGCGCCGCTTAATGGAAGCCTGACCTTCACAGCTCCTTTAAAGGCTTAAACCATGCAGGTTTGTGTGTAAACAGGCCTTGAGGGTACATCTATGAAAAATAAACCACCCAAATATCCAGGATATTATTTGTGCAAATCAGAGGATATTAGGTCTAAGCAGTCCCAGGCCAAGACAGGCTCAGGAACACAAAAGTGAACCTCTTTCCACAAGCACCAGCGAGGTGACAAAGCTTCAGCAGAAAAGAAACACAGCAACTCTGCCTGTGATAGGAGTACTGAAGGTGTCCTTCCTAACATCTAGACATAAAAAAATTAAAATAACATATGCAAGCAGTTCTAAGGCTCTGAGGAACAAGACCACCTGTCCTGTGCCCTGCACCACTTTAGAACTCCCCAGCATTTTGAACAAAACAGAGTTAATTTGTAGCTAAATTGTCTTTCCCTTTCTCAGTACCTGGTAATGTGCGCTTACAGTGGGATTACTCTGCAAATTAAAGCCCACCATAAAGGGGAGGCTGTTCAAACACAGACTCACTCATTAACTTCCCTACTCAAACTCAGACCTGCAGGCAGAAGTACAATTAATTAGGAATTCAACTAATCTCTAAAGCAAAGATACTGCAAAAACATCAGGTGTACTGACTTAAATCTGCTGTGATGCTTTATAACTCTTGAGACAGCAACAGCATAGAGGAATTAGCTTAAAGAGATGCCAAAGGCCTTCAGATAGGTCTCTATCACAATTTCAGTATCTACTAATGGAGGGAGAGCTGCCCTTCAATGAACATCTACTGATATTTTCTCATGGGAAAACAGAAAATAGTAATGGGAACACGGTCATACTTCTGTATGCACTGAAATTAACGCAGCTCAGGAGGCAGCAAATTAAGATTACAATTTCATACCTTGGTTTTCAAGCATTTAATATCTGCTTTTTAAAAAAAATATATATTTTCCCATCAAGAAACTAAAACGAATTGCCACTCAGGACAAAGTGGTCGCCTAAACCAGTGTCCTCTACAGCACCACAGGAGACAAGAAAATCCTTTGGGGAGTCAAAGGCTGAAAAGATTTATTGATTTTCTGCTTCTGAGTAAGCACATTCAGCGATAAAGAACACTGCATTAATGCAGCTCCCCGTGTACACAGTGCTCACCTTTCCTCAGCAGCAAAACTACAAAGAAAGGTTAAGACAACAATTTTCCTCCAGAACATGCTCTTAACATGCCCAGAAGTGATGGCACTCTTTACCCCTGTCCAGTGGGCTGAACTATTTTCTGTTCAAGCAAGCGTCGGCAGAGAGGCTCCAGCTTGGTGAGAAGGAGAGCTGTGTTGATCACATAACCAACTCAACAGTGCAGCAGCAGGATATCAAACTCCTGCTACAAATACAGTTTGAAGAGGGAAAAAGTCAAAGAATGAAGGTAATGGGCTTCATAGGGAGAGTTCAGGAAAAAATCCTCTCCCACCAATTAACCACTGAATGGGTGTTTTACCTCCATGAAAGAGACACTGACGTCAATCTGCCCACAGGGATAGGGATTTTTTTTAACATTTGAAATTTCAGCTACAAGGCAACAGCACCTGTGTGCATTCTCTGTACAGCTCAAATCAGATGTCACAAATAAATACAGAAACTCTACTTACAGAAAAAAAAGCACAATTTTTTAAACACACACAGAAATGTTAGTCAAATCTGAAACAGCTTGCAGCTTGCATATCTTTAGGAAAAGCAATGTAGTACCACAGAGCAGGGAATCAGATTAAATGCTGCACAACTGCTTCTGCACAAATGCCCACGCTGACATCCACAGGACAGGAGGCAGCTCCTCTTCCCTTGGCACAGAAAGCATTCTCTAAAGGGATTGTTAGGGGTGCTGAACAAAACATCTCTGTGTCAGAAATGGTCCCACAACTCATACAAGTAACAGCAGCAAGAAATACAATAGGAATGAACAGAGCCAAGTCTCAAAGGTTCCTTCTGACCAAAAGGACAATGCCCTTCCAGGTCCTGATGGCACACCCCAACATCCTTCTAAGGACAGACCTGAGACAGCTGCTATCCACACCTTTTGGTTAGCACGTACACATCAGATCAGTGAAAGCTGGGATAAAAAATTCACATCAGACTTGAAGCAGCTGCAAAGAAATCCATCTAGGAAAATATTCATGCCTGAGAATTTGTGTTCAAAGAGACCAATAAGAGAAGAAAAGGCTGTTTTCTGTTGTGGGGGCAGTGAGCCTGGGAGCATCTGTGTGCACAACTGCAGGACCACTTAACAGTGAGGAGGTGCAGGAAAGAAGAAACACACTGGGAATGAAAGCCCTGCTCCTTTAAGAGACATTCATCCTGCATTAAGATTCCAACTACTTTTCCATCTTCACTCTCAGAGCATTCTCAGCACAAAGCTCTGAGCTGACAGCAGCTGTACCAGCTCAGCAGCACCGCAGTGACAGCACAGCCCATCAGCAAGGCCTGGCCAGGGCTGAATTTATCAAATGCAAAGAGGAGGCAAAGAGCCAGATCTGGCAGGACAGCCCTGCAGGAATTTGACAATCTTAGAATTCACTCAACTGTTGGAATACCATTAAATACTTTCAAGAGCAAAATATTTTCAGGGCTATAAAATTTTTATCCTATAAATTACTCATGTATTTCTATTTATTAATTAATTTTATTTATTTATTCTTTATTTAATTCAATATTATTTATAATATTCTATATTACTGGATAACATAAGCTCGGTTGTCTTCTCTAGCACTGCTCATTTCCAGTATCAGAGATCTGGACAAGTGTATCAGTGTATCCTACTAAGTTTGTTGTCTACTGTTTTTTTAATGCATAAAGGAACATATAAAAGCTTGAATTTGACATGCTAAAAGCCAGGTCTCAAACTTATGCCACAGGATGGTGAAACAAGTTGGCCATAGCAACACTTCAGCAGTTTATAATAATAAGCCAGTTTGGCCTTTAAGGTGAAAAAGTAATTAGAATAGTCATTAATTGAAGAGCCTCATGGAAGAGATGGAAATTTCAGGAAGGGCAGAAACTAGAGGGAAATGCAGACAGGGCCTGCTCAGTGAGGTGGTCTCATCATAATGCAGGACTGCAGCTTACAAAGGAAAACACATCAAAAAATAAACATAACATGTTTCAGGGGGATTTCCAGGGAGAGTCTCCATTTAGAAGATCTTTAGCATACTAACAGAATTTATTATGTTTAAAAAAAAAAAGATGAAACTAAACAGGAGAATCTCCAGTTTGTGTGAAAAGTGATGATGCATCACTGTTTAAACCTGTTGTATTTTCAAAAGAATAACTTACATTTGCTCTTCTTTGTCAGTATAGGGCTGAGAAATGCCCTGTGCTTAGATCAGTTACATGGTCAGTATCACACAGGATAAAAGGCAACTAATTAACATCAATACCAATATAATTAATTCATATAAAACATAGGGGGAATCCAGGAAATCAAATAACTGAGAAAAATGTCAATGATTACACAGTAACTGCATTAATTAAAGAGCTACAAACAATTCCAATTGATAGTGATGAATTGTTAAAAAAATTAGAATTGCCTCCAAAGAAAAAGCCTCCACTTTTCTCACAAAGTGTAGAAATGTGCCAGGCTCAGGACAAGAGCCAGAGTTCTGTTACAGAGAGGCAGAAATGACCCACCTCTTTCACTGTGCCAGGCATCAGCAATGGCACAAGAGTTCTCCCACTAACACAAAAGTCCACCCCAAGACCCCAAACCACCCTCAAATGCAGAAAGGCCCTGATCCATCAGCAGCTAATAAAACAACAGTGCGTTGGTAGCACTCCCCACAGGCCTTTATTGCCAAGTTTTGCCAAGGAATGCAACACAGCTTTAATTGCAATAGGAAGCAATTGTGCCCAAAGTCAAAAGTTTTCCTGGGCCTTTTTCCAGCACTGTTTATTGTTTTA